GGACAGGGCCCGGGCCCAGCCACGGCCTCGGCGCGGCCCCCACGTACGGCCAGGAGCGCGGCGGAGGGGGCACGGTCCGACATTTCCTGAGCCGAGTCGTTATGCCGAGAGAATTCGAAACGGCGGTAGAGAAATAAAATCAGTGCAACGCGTGAAGAAAAACCCCAGACTTCGTCCCGTGTTGCTCCCGTAGGAGTGTTCCTTTTGCCCCAGCTTTTCCAGGCCCCCACCAGATCCCAGGGTTTCACCTGTTACTGGTACAGGAGTTGTAGTAAAGCCTTGCCACAAATTATATCCCTTCCGGTTTAAAAGTGGCTTTTCGCAGACACATTTTTTATAGCAACAGGAAGCCTTGTTGGCAGTGTATTTCAATTATGCTCTGAAACTAATCAAGGAAAGAGAAACCGTTTTGAACACAGGAAGCTACACAGCTAATCACACGTTTAAGTGCCTGCTTCCACGGGGGATGTGCAAGTACTTAAGTGTTCCTGAACTCCCAGCACATCAGCAATCTGTTAAATGGCTATAAAGTGCAGGCTTTATTAGGAAGGGGGAGGATCCATACCACCCAGTGCGAGGCACCTGCTCCCTCTTCGCAGTTACCAGAGGGAGAGAAGCAACCGGAATTGGGAGAGTCTGAATCACCTTCTGGAAAAACCCTAGCTCCTTTCACTAACCGTAGAGGAGGCCTAAAGAGACTAAATGGAAATTAAGTACCTAAGCCAGGGTAGCTATTTTATTTCACCACTGCCAGATGCTAGCTGTGGGCTCGGTATACCTGAGGCTAATTGCCATGATTGCTCTAGCTGAACTACTTCTGTGAACTGTTACTGGAGGTAATAAGGTTCCCACTAAAAAGCTCAATTTCCTTATTTTTTCTCCATTTTTAGAGTCAAATCTTTCTTTGGTGTTAAGCAGAGCTGTGTATCATGGAACGAAGCTCACTTGCTCTTTTGGAAGCTACATGGTATGTAATGTATGATGTACAGTCCTGTATTCCTGGCGTGAAGGGGTAACAGCTATGTGGCACACATTCTGCTTCCCAAAGGAGGGCGTCCCAGTGCCTCCAATAGCTCCTCTTACTGTGCTGCTGAAAGGTCTCATTAGCTGGGGGAAGCACAAACCCTCGCTGGAAGCCTCTAAATGAGATCCAAAATTACTTGAACCACGAGTGCAGCAAGGAAATCCATTTAAGTAAACTGCACTGCAAGAGCATTGACAACCGAAATGTTGCTGGGACATTTGAGCTGTCTCAAACGTGTTTACAAAGCACAGCAGAAAGAACTGTCTCTGATTTGAATCACTGGAGGATTATTATGAAAGTGAAGCTTAATTGGTGTAAAACAAGCAGGACAGAGGCAAGGCTCAGACCCAGAACTTGTGTGTTCCCAGCTAAATCTTTCAGCAGGTTCAAAATGTTCCCTGCTCCTGTAACCCACTAGTTTTCTCTGAGCACATCTTGTCTCTTCCAAGTACCCAATAAACATGGACTTTAGCTCTTCAGCGCAAAAAGACAGAAATTGTCTACTGTCACTGTGTTACATGCATACTGCTTCTGCCGAGTATTTAGCCAACCTGTTGGGCAGGCCCTCCTAGCTTTGCAGTTAAGATTCCTGTTTGCAAAATAATTATAGAGAGTTTGCAGAGGTCCGTTCAAGTTCTGCTGCGCTGCAGAACTGGGGCGAGAAAGTTCATGGGTCCCATCTGGCTGCGTGCAGCGCCTGCTCAGCGCCGCGCACGTCTGCGCTTCGGACATACTGCGGTGGGAGGTGACTTGCGGAGACAGCTTGTCTTTCTCCTCGCCGCATCTGCGTTCGGTTCTGGGGTTGCTCAGTATGAATGATAGACAGGACTTTGGGTCAGGGCTGGGTTGTCTCCCGTTCTGTGTGGATAATGGGGGCGGGGGGCGCGCACACATTCAGATGCAGAATAGCAGTGCAGCTCTGCTCAAATGAGCTTGAAAAACCGCAATCCCCACTTCTACTGCTCTAATGCTGGAACCCTGCCAGGATCTCGAGAAGAAAACCAGCACCGAGACAATTCTGCTTTTGTCCCGGGTTTGTTAATCTCGAGACGCCTCTGTAAATAAATACTCATCAAAAGGAACTGGCAGCCGGGGAAGGACGGGGGGCTGCTTGCCGTCCGGGTGGCTCCGGCCACCCTGCGAGGGCAGCCCCG